AGGAGGAATATGGCAAAGAGGATGATGGCAAGACACCCCATGGTGAATCATCAGTGCCAGGGCTTGGATACCATTTGAGAAATTAATCCCTGTTTTCCTTACTGAAATTGCCAATGCCTGTTTGCTAGGTTCCAAGAGCAGCTCTCATGCTTGATGTCACACTGCCATGTAAATTGTCTATTTTCCCCCTGGGAGGTCTCCCCCTCCCAAGCTCTGAGCTTTATAATGACAGAAACTATCTTCAGACCTGAGTTCCCAGTGCTGAGTTTAGTTTGTGATCTGGTGACTCAGGTGCCCAGTGGACACTCAGGGCCCTTTCTGAATCCTGTGCCATTTCCACATTACATATGTGAACTTAGCTCCCATGAGGGTCTGGAGGCAAGATGGATGAAGAAAACCTAAGAGGAAGGGCTGAAGCAAAGTGATCCTGACAGAATGACTTACACAGAGAGGTGGAAGTGATGGCAAGCAAAGAGCATTTGTAGAACAGTAATGTACATGTGCCGTGGGGCAGGGAGTAGAGGAACAATAACAGAAGTGTGGACCAAAATGGAAGCCAGAGTTAGGATTTGTGACTTTATTCTTTTGGTGTGGACACGCATGTTTTTAGAAGGTTCCTCCACAGCCTGTAGAAGGGACTGAAGAAAGGAAATCTCACAGCACTGGCTTCCAGGCATCATTGCATCAAGTGGAATCAGTCCTTTTATCACTTATCTTTTATCAGAACTGCTCACCCAAGACCTGCAATCCCTGAGCCTCCTCAGCCAACTGGTTGTGGCCCACAAATCTGCATTAGCTTTTGAGACAGTGTCTCACTCTGTTGCCCCACGCTAGAGTGCATGAGTCATCAGACCTTAATGTAGCCTCAAACTCCTGGGTTCAATTGATCCTCCTGCCAAGTAGCTGGGATTATAGGCACCCACCATAATGCCTAACTAATTTTTCTAATTAAGTAAACATGGGGGTCTTGCTTTTGCTTAAGCTGGTCTTGAACTCCTGAGCTCAAGTGATCCTCCTACCTTGACCTGCCAGAATGTTAGGATTACAGGCGTGAACCACCATACCTGGCTAGGAATTTGCATCTTCAAAGAGGCTGCCAATTATCTTCAAGACTGGATGCTGAAAGTTTAGTTTTTTATAAATTTCAGAATATTATAGACGTATAAATTTTTGGTTATGTGAGTTGCTTTATACAGTTTGAGACAGTTATAAGTGTGACCCTCACCTGCATAGTGTGCTTTGTACCTGTGAGGTGTGAATTTGCCCCTTTCTTCCTCTAGCCTCCTACCTGCTTGGTTTACACTGAGTTTTACTACCAAAGGTACACATGGGTGTTGATCAATTAATTCTAATTTAATAGTGAGTACATGTGGTGTTTGTTTTTCCATTATTATGAAACTTCACTTAGAAGAATGGTCGCCAGTTCCATCCAGGTTGTTGTAAAAGGTATTAGTTCACCATTTTTTACTGCTAAGTAGTACTTCATGGCATATATATAAAGCATGCATGCCACTTTGTGACATATAAAGTGTCAAAAAGTTGACAAAATGACTTTTTTTCCTTATGGTAAATATGCAAATAGTAGGTCTGCTTTTAGTGCTCTGAGGTGTTTCCATACAACTTTCCATAGAGGTTGTACTAGTTGGCAGTCCCGTCAACAGTGTATAAATGTTCCTTTCTCTCTATATCCTTGCCACCTTCCGTTCTTTGGGGATTTTTTTTTTTTTGGTAAAAGCCATTCTCACTGGAGTTAGGTAATACCTCATTGTGGTTTTGATTTGCATTTCCCTGATGACTAGAAACGTTGAGCATTTTTCCTGTGTTTATTAGGTATTGGTCTGTGTTCCTTTGAAAAGCTTCTTTCTGTTCATGTCTTTTGCTACTTTTTATGGGATAGATTGATTTTTTTTCTTGCTGATTTGCTTGAGTGCTTTATAGATTTGGTTATCAGCCCTTTTTTAGATATAGAGCATGTGAATATTTCCTCCCATTCTGATGGTTGTCTGCTCTATTATTTCCTTACCTGTGCAGAAGCTTTTTAATTTAATTAGGTTCCATTTGTTAACTTTTGTTATTGTTATGATTGCCTTTAGGGTCTTGTTCAGAAATTCGTTGCCCAGGCCTTCATCTACGAGTTTTTCCCAACATTTTCTTCTAGAATTTTTATAGTTTTATGACTTAGGTTTCAGTCTGTTATCCATCATGAATTAGTTTTTGTGAGTGATAAGAGGTGCAGATTCTGTTTCAGCCTTCTACCTATGGCTATCTAATTTTCCCAGCACCATTCATTGAATTGGTATTCTTTCCCTCAGTGTGTTATTGTCTGCTTTGTCAAAGATCAGATGGCAATATGAAGATTTTTTTTTTTTATATCTTGGTTTTCTGTTCTGTGTCTCTGTTCTTGGGCCACTACCATGCTTGTATTTTGGGGGGGGTTGTTTTGCTTTGTTTTATTGTGATTTTCCAAATAAAGTTGTATTGATATTTAACAAACATATAGAAGGATACAAGTCATTAAGTGCCTAACCCAGTGAATTTTCACAAAATGACCACATCTGTGACAGTAGCACCACATCAAGAATGAGAACCTTCTAGCACCCCAGGAAGCCCCTTCCACTTACTACCTCCTCAACTGCTGTCTTGACTTCTAACCCCATAGATTAGTTACTTATCTTTTATCACTTCTATTTTGTGTGCCTTCAATAATGTTCACAGTATAATAGAATCTTAGGATATGTATATAATTTAGATAGACATATTATGGTAAATTTTAATTTTTTTACCAATAGGATACACAATAAAAAAATTTCACTCCACCTTTCTAAAGGACTGGAAATGTTGGTGTGAGCTGAAATCTAGGTCTAGGAAATTGGAGGACTTTTGTACCTTCTCCCACTCCAAAGTCTTGAAACATACCATCTCCCCAATTTGGCTGCAGTGATTGATAGAGGCCTCATGGGTCATGAATAGTCTCCTGGCTTTCCTTTGACCTTGGCTGGAAGCCACATGCCTGGGTAGACAGACAGCAGCACTCTGCAGCCCCTCTCTCCTGGTTCTCCCAAGTAGCTTGCTGTGTTCAGAGTTCAGCATAGCCCAGCTACACTTGGAAGCCTCTGCTTACCCATGCCACATCCTGGGAAGACTTGCAGGGGGGCAGCTCAGCCTTTGTTGCTTCAGGCTTTAACAAGAAGCCGTCTCTTTTCTTGGTGTGATTTTCTTAGACTTTGCCTCTCCTAAACTACCAAGATTCTGAAAAGCAGGATTAGGATATACAGGCTTAGGGGAAGGGGACCCAAAAGATGATTTGGTTTTAATCCAGATGATTTGATTTTAATCCAAATCCAGCTCACCCAGGCCTAGTTCAGTTCATCAGGACAGCCCCAAAGTGTTAGTTAAAAATGAAGAGTGTTTTTTTCCTCTGCATCTGCTTTCTAGGGAACCAAGGGAAAGGCCAGCAGCCAGAGGAGGATGGGTACTTGGCTTGGTCAGCTCCACATGCCATTGGCAACTACTGTCTGCAATGGCTCTAAAGGACTCAGCTACCTCCCTGAGGCCACGCCCACACATCTGCTTTTCGTTCAACTAGCCCATCTGTTGGTGCTTTTTCTCTTTCAGGAGGAGATGGGAATTTCCTGTGAGCTATTGGAATCAGACTTCCTCAAATGCAGCGTGGGATTTCCTTTCATGAGGTCAAAGTCGAAGGTAAGGGACAAAGACATGACCCTTCCTGAGCAGTGAGCCCCAGCCCTTCCCACCAGCCGCTGACCCTACAACTGCTTCCTCCAAGGAAGTTTCCTCCCATACCTGTGCCTCCTGCAGCAGCTGAGGTGGCTGCCAAAGCCCTGCAATGCTCCTGCCCCTGATACTCCAGAGGGGCCGCAGTCACGTGGTCTTTCTCTTTGATCCACATACCTCAAACATGAAAGACACATCATGGCCTATGCACTTTGGCAAGCAGCATTTTGTTGGCCTTCCTAAAATGTTTGTCCTGGAACACTCCATGCTGCTTTGAGTCCCTGAGACAACTCTGGAGGAGACAAGGTCTGGACTGGTGACCTACAGTCCTGACCTTGTTGCTCCCCTGGGCACTCACAGTTTTCTGAAGAGACCGCACAAAATTCTCAAAACATAAATAACTGTATTATCATACACTTTTTTTAAAAAGTAGAAGACATTGCAGTCACTGTGGAATTTAAAAGGACACAGATTTTCTGTGCTCAGAAAATAATTCAGTACAACATACTCAGACACTGATAGAGCATTCTAGCATGTGCTTTCGTTATCAGGAGATACAAAGATAGGTAGAAGTCTAAATTTTGGTGGCAAAACTAGAATCTAAGAGACACAGGTCTGCCTTTTGAAATGGAAGCTATTTTCCCTGCCATAATTTAAAGGAAATTTCTTATTCCTTTGTCTACCTCTTTTCTCCTAAAAATGTGAAGACTTCATACTTCTATCCTGCCTAAGTCACAGAATCAGATCATTCTAATTACTAAGGCTTTTTGGTCCTAGTGCCTAGTAACTATCTTGTAAACCAATGATGAGAATGTCCTAGTGAGAGAGAAGTTTCCTCATTTCCTAACAAATCACTTGAACCCATCAGCCCCAGTACCTGCTCTAGACTACAGTGACTCTTAAGTCCATGATTCCTCAATCTTTGGGCTCTATTCACATTCACCTGAGGATAAGGGAATCCTCAAGAAGCGGCTGCTCTTAGAAAATGGATTGCAGAATGTAGGCCAAGTCCCATTAGACTTCAGGTAGGGTGAGGGTGAGGATGAATGAAGAAGACCCTAAACCATGTACGTCATTGCCTATAGTAACACGTAAGGTATCCTCCCACACAAATTTAACTGAAATCTTTTGAGCAATAGAAATTAGACTTAATTGAAAAACTTTAACAGTTGACATTTCATTGTAAAATTCAGCCTACCTCACAAACCAAGCCTAAGAAGTGTCTTGTCATCTTTAGTGGAGTATTAAATTTAGTCAAAATGTATTAATTTTTAAAATAATCATAGAACCAACAGAA